TCACTCCCCAAGTGAGGAAACTAAGATTTAGAAAGATGACAAAACTGTCTCAAGTGCATCTCAGTTAGATTTGAACCCACGCCTATCAGATGCCTAGGCCAAATGTCTTTGCCAAAATGACAGGCTACAAGCCACAAACTGTATCAGCCCTGAATGCTCGCCAAAGCTTGTTTTTGATCTTGTTGGTATTACAAGATCAAAAACAATCCTAACACCCCCTTACCCCCGACCAAGAGACACAGGTTAGCTCTGTGGAGGCTAAACTAACTCTCCAAAGCCTTTGAAGATATTTGCAGATGTTTTTTGCAGAAGTAAATTGTTTTAGTAGACAATAAACTGGATTCACATCCCCGTTCTATCTCTCAGTCCCTGTGTGACCTCAAGAGATTTGCTCTGCTTCTCTGAACCTGGATAGAGCATGGATTAAGAATAACCTGCTCAGAGCTGGTATTTGAGAATTTGCCTACACGACCCCATAAATTAGTTACTTTCTCCCAAATCTGTTCTATTGAAAGTCGATTGCTGTATCATCTTCTAAACGCTGTAAAAATAAATAAATGCTTCCTTAGTGAGCATCCAAAGTCTAAAAATGACACAAAATGATTTTGAAAAAGCTATAGCAATCCATGTATATGTGCATATACTAAGTGCAATACCTCTTTGAATACAACTGGGCTACTTTCTACCTTCCTTCTGCCCTCCCCATCACACCCACACACACACAAAAACTGAATCCTCATGCAACATTATCTCCTTCATCCTCTAACACACACCTAACCCTCACTCAGATAATAGATGTCTATTCTCCTGCCACTCATGATGTGAACAATAAAAAAAAAAATGAAGATTTTGTGGAGATAAGCAAGGGAGAGAAGCTGAGATGCTGGAGCTACTTGTTTAGCAATAGAGAATTTGGGGGATTCAGAAAACAGCAGACATCAGACAAGGTCTACTCTGTTTTCACCGTTTGGTTGGCTCCAAGATGGGTGGAGCCCTGCTTCTTGTAACACTGAATTTCACGTGGCTTTTTATAAGCAAAGGGGCCATTTCTGCATTGCACCTCTGGATTTAAAAAAGGAAATTTCAACCTCAGAATAATGTTTTTTGCTGAACAAAACGTATGCCAAACTAAGCTTTGACTTCTGGTTTTCTGAGTCCCAGCCTCCAAAGTTTTCTCAGGTTTCCAGGCCTAGGCTGAACTCACTGGCTCCCACCACTTGCTCCTGGGCTACAGTGAGGTGGACACTGGGAAGCACGGGGTGTCCCTTCTCATGCACACCTGGTAGATTTGGGGGAATCCACAGATCCAGACAGTAGATTGCTGGACTTCAGGGCAGGCACCAATATGTTTTCCTGGGCATTACAGGAAAAATAATTCTAGCAAGAAGGGGAAAAAAATCAAACAGAACAGTAAGAGGTCTGAGCCTCCATTCCTAGGTCCACAAAAGGTGATTTTATAAGGCAGGAAGGCCCTGCTTGGCTTTCTCACTACATAACATAAGTACGAACATTCTTAACCTAAACTGCCTACCCAGGTCCTTAGATCTTAGAACCTGGTCTGACTTCTTGCCTTTTCCTGGAACAGATGAACCAAAGCCTTATGGCCCACCCACTTTTAAAGGACAGACCATCACCAGCTAACATACAGGTCAGTCCTGGGCCAAAACTGGCTCAGGAAAGATGCTTGGGTCTGGGCAGACGAGGATAAATGAAAATAAAGTTACTCAGTTCTGCTCACTGTGACCACTGCACCCACTGTTATCCTCGAAGTTGCCACAGAAATGAGCTCATTCTACCTTTGAAATATCCCGGAGCTTAAAAGTTTAAAGCAGGCCAAGCAGATTTTGTGGGGGCTTTTCAAGTTTGACACTGTAATTACATGCAGGACTTTGTGCCACCAATTTCCTCCCAACTATAACATTTTTACATCTTTTTTAAACATACATTGAGGTTAGCTTTTTTTCTTTTTAGTACATGTTATGAAATAAGATATGAGTTTATGCCCAGCCATAGCTACCTTTTTGCCAAAAGGCTAGACCGACACAAACTAAATATGACTATTTTCTTTATCCCAAGTTAAGAATATTACATACCCTCTTAATATACATACATAAACCTAGCTCACGACAACCAACACTACCTGCAGGTCAGAAATCATAAGGAGATTTTCCTTTCATATAATGGGATTAACAAATGTTAACTGACTGAACTCCAAAAAATAAAACTCAAAGGAACAAAACAATTCAAGGAACACCAAAAGGTAAAATAATTTCAATGGTCTTTCTCTTTCTCCCTGCTTTCTTACATCTCCAATTTAACAAATAGCCCATTTCTCATGGCTATAGGCAAGGAGGCAAGGGCTCTAGAGACAGACAATACCAACACTAAGCGTCAGCTCTGCTATTTTTGTAATCAAAATACTAAATACTATGTATATAACATGCAACCTTCACAGTTACTTGGCTTCATAAGCCTTATTCTTTAAAATAAAGGTTAAAGCCCTCAAAGGAATTCTGTGAGGATTAAATGAAGTAATGCAAGCTTAGATAACTGTCCGGCAAATAAAATGTGCTTCATAAATGTTTGCTTGTAGATGTTATCAATCTGCTAAATGTGTCTCCCCTTCAATTCAAGTATTAAAAAACGCCAAGCAGCTTCTGGGCCACACAGTGGCTAGAACCCAGACAATGCAGTGGATTCCATGGAAGCTTGCAAGAGCTATAGATAGAAATGATCATCCACTAAATTCTCACTCAATTTTTACTAAGTCATTACAAATGTTTGGGGAACAATAATTACTGTGACAACTTGGGCCCCTCTTCCTAAATCCCTGCCCAAGGCCATGGTAACATATCACTAGGCCTTTGGCTAATGAATAACGGGTGAGTCCTAATGCCAGGGGAAGAGACTCTGACAGCTCTTGTCCAAGGCAGACGCCTCTTAAATATTACTTATATGTTAAAGACATAAGACATCTACTAGCCTTACGAACTTAATCGATACTTTTCTCCAATAAATATCATTTCCACTTGAATTCCATCTGATGCGTCTTTTCTCTTCACACTCTTTCTTGACCTTCAAAAGTGAAGCGTTCTAAAAATCTATGTTCTTATTATTAAATCTCTCCTTTCAAAGAAAGGAGCTATTTTCTACCAGGGCAGGAATACCGAAAAGAGAGAATGCTGTGTGGGGAACTTTTCAAAATATTATTGAGGAACAGTTTGTAAAACTGTATATCTGAACTTTATAAATAGTAATATTGCCAAAGAGAAAAATGATATTTTTACATGTAGCGCTGTCAACACATTTAAATATTACTTGGTCAGGGTAATTTCCCCTGAAATCTTAAGAGAATAAAAGAAAATATTTCACTAGCATTATTCAGATAAGAGAAATGAAAAAGGAAGATGTATACATGCACACACAGCAACAGAGTCAAAATTTAAACTCAAAACTTCTTTTCAACAAGTTCTTTAGTAAATATCATTGACAGAGCAGTTCATAAACACAGAATCTAAAGACCCTCTCGGCTCAGATTTTTTTTAGACAGCAATGTTGATCGTCTCAACAAATTAAGGCATTTTTGTTTTTGTTGATTTCCTTAGTCTTCAATCATTTGCTACGCACCTTCCCCCACTTAACATTTCATGACATTGACCTCATCTCTTGTCATGGAAGAAATTCATAGTTGAAAGCCTAATGGCTTAGCTTTTTTTTTTTTTTTAAGTTTTATTATTTTGATAGTTTATGCTGGGTATTGAGGGGGTGGGGGGAGAGGGAGGGGGTGGAGTGGGTGGTAAGGGAGGGGGTGGGGGCAGTGGGGAGAAATGACCCAAGCCTTGTATGCACATATGAATAATAAAATAATAAAAAAAAAGTTTTATTATTTTGAATTAGTATTCACTTATATTATGAGGGGGTTTCATTGTGGCAGTTCCATATATGTGTACTGTGTACTATGAACAAGTTCACTCCTCCATTTTATTCCCATTCCCCCTCCTCCTTTTCCCGCCTTTTTCAAAGTGTTTGGTGGGTTTTCCATAAGCAGAGATGGATCCCCTCTCTAGTTCCATAGGAGGACATGCTGCTCTGGTAACAAATAGTCATCTATCACTTTGGGGCTTTGCATTTGTCTGTTAATGTATTTCCAACAGAATTTTGTGATATGTAGTTTTTAATCAAGGTTTGCCAAAAGTGACTAGCATGTGAAACACTTTTAGCAAAAGCGTTGCTCTTGGTGAGTCTACATTTCATCTCAGAAATTCTTATTCAGATAGCTTAATCTCCCCCAAGTGGTTATTTTTTAGACTTATTATTAACTATTAAGCTAAAATAACTTGAAATAAATTATTTGTTGGCACCTACTAGCCACCACCAGGGTTAACTAAGCAGCTGACAGCCAAGTTTTATTCTCTCTTAAGAGTGGAATTGTCCTTTCTCACTCGTGCTTCTAAATCAGAAAGAAAGGCTGTATTTGAAAGCTTAGGCCACAACAGGCAAAGAAACCGAAGAAAGGAATTCAAGATTACATTCTGACCTTACGTTTGTCCTTTGTGGCAGTCATCTCTCCTCCTCGTCACATACCTTATCCCTGACCTTTGTACCTCAATGTTATCTCACCATTTTCCTGCTGGGCTCAGATGATAGAGTCAATGCAGAAAATGCTTTGAAACCAGTGCAGGAGCAATGACTTGGTGGTTTTTAATAGTCATTAGGAGGAATTGCAAACTAGAACAATGTCACATAAAGTCCAGCTTAAGTTTCCTTCTCTAACAATGATGCCAAAAGTAAGAATTCTCAGCTGAATGAAGTGGAAATTGACAAAACCCATAAAACTCAGAAATTCAACTAAGTTGAATTCAACCCGCAAACTATGTGCAGCTAAATGCGATTTTGTTTGTAATAGTTAAAGACAATCTTTTAAGACCTGCTTATAGTAATGGTTTCACCTTGTCTGAGCGAGAGCAATGGAGTTCACTTTACCTGATCTGCACACTTACCAAGCACACACACATGATGCATGGGTTGTCAGTGATAAACGGAATTTGGAGGACTTCACCTTCATTTTCACATTTTGCAACAGATCCTGAAATAAAGGGAAATTTTTTTTCATTTCAAACCTTTGCTTAGTATCATTATTACAAAATCTTAAATTTCTACACTGGTCCTTTTCAAAATACCTACCCAAATCAGAAATTCTTAATGAATTTTAAATGATCAAACTCACCCAAAACAAAGCCACCAATCGATTTTAAATAGTTTTATTTAAGCAGGCCTTTTTTTTTTAAGAAACCACTGTAATGTATAGATAGATTTCTATTCTCAGATGCTTTAAGCACAATTCCAAGCATCTCACTGGATCGTTAATAATACTCCTCCTTTGTGAAGGCATTTCAAACACACACACACACACCCCATACTAAAAAAATTCAAATGGCCCATTAGGGAAGATTTAAATTTGAACAGAATTCAGCACTGTAGCAATGAACAGGCCTTTCAGATGGATCTGCCTTATATTGTTGTGAGCTGAAATCACTTTTTGAAATGCAATCCTCTTTTCTCTTCTCTTAGAAATATTTTCTTTTCTGCACCAGGTGTCAGTAAAGTATGTCCTTCAGAATAGCAGCCGGGGTCTTCACCTGCCTGAAAACGTACAATTATTATATTCTGCTATTATTACCCTTTTAAAATATGATCGTTTCTTTAAACTCAAGGTCTAGAAAGCCGGTGCTTTAAAAAGAACTGACTGGCACAGTAGACATACATATTGGATTCCTATAGAGTGAGAAAAGAGGATGTGCGGGAAACCACGCAATTTTTTTAATTGTACAGGAGTGGGAAAGATTAAAATAAGGGCTGGGGGTAACATCAAAAGTAAATCAAGGAATTTCTCAACTTCAAATCCAAGAATGTCTGTTATCACTACACAGAGGGTACCAGCTCCTCAGCCGTCAACCTCGTCATCTACTCCCAGCCCTTCCGCCCCTTCCCCGGGCTTCGCTTCATCCCCACGGGCGGCAGAACGGCAGACGCCAAGGTGCGAGCTCCCCACCCTCCCATCCATCCCTTGCAAGCCAGCTCCTCCTCACCAAGTACCAAGCCCGCGTCCCGGAGGGCCGCTTCCTCCCGCACCCTCCCCTACCTGTCAAGAAGGAGGAAGCCAGAGACATGGGGACCCCCGAGCAATTGAGCAGCAGCAAGACGCAGCAGGTAATCCCAGGCGAGCGCCGGCAGGGACGCTCAGCCAGAGCCCTGACGCCGGAGAACCAGAGCATCGTCACCTGGAGGGAATCCCGGGCGACTGCAGGTCCCGCGCCGCTGCCTCTGCTCCGCTGCGGCCGCTCGCAGTCAAAAGGGCTCTGGGCCGGCGTGTCGGGAGACAGTGCGCTAGGAGGGGGGCGGGCGCCCGGCGAGTGGAGGGGGGGGGGCGCAGGAGGGCGGGGGAGGGGAGTGGAGGGGTGGGGGCGCCCCGGGAGGAGGGGTCCTGCGGCCGGGCTTGTCCAATGCGGCGGGGCTTTCTGAGCTAGCTGCTTGCTGCGGATCTGCCGGCAGCCCTCCGCGCCAGAGAGGGGCCGGACGAGGGGGCGACGGAGCAGCCGGAGACCAGCGGGGAGGAGCGGCCGCGCTGCCGCCTGCGCTCGGCCGTTCCACCGCCGCCCGGCTCGGCCACCGCGCCCAGCGCTGCGGCTGCGGCGGCGTCTTCCACTCCCGCAAGCCCCAGTCCCGCGCGGCTCGGGCGGCGCGGCACACAGGGGCGCACAGCGCGCCTCGCGGGACCCTCTGGGGGCGCGCGGGTGCAGGAGGGACGGTGCGATCGCCGCGCCTGGAGCACGTCTCAACCGCGTCCAGCCCTCTTCCCGGCCCAACAGAGGTGCCCGGCACCGGGGCACTGAGCCGAGCAAGGAAGGCGCGTCTCCACCGCCCGGTTGCGCGCCGCCTCCTCCCGGCCCTGGGGAGCCACCCTCACCCGGGATGCCGGGGTGCCCTAACCCTTTAAGAGAACAGAAACCGGGGCGCAGGGGCACCTCACCACCCTGTTCGCTGCTGGGTGCCCAAGATCTGGGAAACAACAACGCACCAGATGGAGTGTGTCTCCCCCCCAGCTTTTCACACCCCACTTTGCTTTCCCCTGGCATGGGAGAGGCAATGGACGCGGAGCTGAACGGACTAGGGGGGAGGGAGAGTGTAGTTGAGATCGGTGCCCTGTATTTGTGGGTCTATACGTCCCAACACCAGGGAAGACAGAAGTTGAAACGACAGGCAGTCTATCCGAAAGGCAAACGCCTTTCGTCCTTAAAAAGAGGGACAGTCGTTCCGAGACTCCTCCCTTACAATCCTGGGCTGCTGGGGCGGGGAGGTGCCATTTGACTAATCATTCATTCACGGGCCAGGGAGGCAGGGACCCGCCCGGGCGCTGCTCTGCGACTGCGGCCGCCTCCGCTGGAGCCTCCACAGCTGAGCTTGCGGTCTTCGCGCTGCCCAGGCTACGCCTTTCTCGCCTAAGCAGTCCTGGGGTCGGGGGTTCGAGCCTTTGATCCCCCAACCCCCACCCCGCTGAATCGGGGTCTACCGTCCAAGCAGTGGCCCCCTCTACTCAAAGGGGATGCAATCCAGGACCGAAGATTTTTGGTAATTATATTTTAAAGGCGTGAGATTAGGGACGGGACGCTTGGCACATTTTGAGATCTGATGATCAGCTGTCTTTCGGGCCCAGTGTGGGACATAGGCTTCCTCTTCCCCAAGAATAAAAGCTAGATACTCTCAAGCCCATCCTCCCAGCGGCGGGTCAGCCTGGTGGATCCAAACAGCCGAGCATCCCCACACACACACTCACACCACACACACACCCCAGCGGACGGACCTGAGTCTTCGAGCTGTTCCTAGTCATAGCAACTGTACCTTTGAAAATAAATAATCTGTTTGCTGACAGGTTTCGCCTAGCTTCGTCTTAACCCTTCCTCGCTTTTTCTGGCTGTTTATTTGTTTTCGTTTTTCGAGTGATTTGGAAGCTTCACTTAATAATTGCAGCAGTGCCAACATCCCGGCACAGCAAAGAGCCCATAGGATCGATCGCATTGCTGTGACATGGGAAAAGAGAGAGGAAAGCTGTCATTAGCTTAGCATGCTCCATTTCCCTCTCAAAACAGATTCTGACTGTAAAATTTAAATTAGAAGAGACAGAGATGATGTGATTGCTTCTCCCCCCACACACACAAATAACACCATAGCCAGAAAATTTCTTGAAAATCGGTGTGTTTAATGTGTTTGCTAATAATGCAGAAAGATGACTTGCAAAAAGTCATCTCTAAGCATAGTTTTGCTTTCCATGGTAACTGATTAAAAAATAAACCATAAAATTAAAACTTTGATTACCACAGATAAGTACAGTCAGTTGGAACCACTATCTTCTTCTTAAAAAGATTCTCCCTGGGTAGGGTTTTTAGATAAAGTTGTTCATCATGACTTAGTTTAGGAAAACTGAGTAAAGGAGATACCGAGAAATCTTTTTATTGCTCTAGACTTCAATAGATTGAAATAGACGCACACTATAAAATTGCAAGACATCTCAAGAGAGTGTATGTGTGTTGTTTTGATGTACCTTCTCTGGCACCAGCCACAGATCCTCGCTGTGTGACAAATGTCTTTAGGACAGTACCTAGATGTGTGTGGCATTTCTGTAATGGATGGCATGGTGCTTTGGTGTGCACTGGGATTCTCCCTGTATATGCAAATCTGAAAACCACCTGGAAAACATTTTCATCTGCCTGGAAGTCTTCAAAGAGCAACATGCACAGAAGCATTGGGCAAACCTGGCTCTTCTTCCTGTTTGTCATAATCCACTGCCACCGACGATTTCCCAGGCTGTAGTCTCCACAAATAGGCCCTAGTTCTGAAAGAGCAGTCTTTCCCCAAATGGTTTATCAGAACATTTCCCCATACTGTTCCTGCTGCTATAACTGCCCCTTTGAGCAATAGTCTGTCAGCAGCTAACTGGCCTCTAAGCCAAGCTCAGATGTTCCAGGATGAAAAAGGGAAAAATAATAATAATAACCTTACATTTTTAACTAAATGGTGATGCCATCCAGATTCCCCCATGACCTTGACTGAAATCAAAAGAAGAAAATGTGTTTGACTCTGCTTTTGACATCTTTCACAGATAAGGAGGTAATGGGACCCAAAGACCAATATTTAGCTCAGAGCCTATCCCAGGCTGTCTCTTCTCTTGTTCTCTAAATAAAATGTGTAACTAAAAGGGATACATTTCTGCAGTAGAAATGGTAGAAATTGTCTTTCTCTCTCAAACTAGGTTGCTGGATTCCCACTGAAAAATTCAAGTGAATATACAACTTAGTCTCAAAGTTACTTCTAGAGAAATTATACCAACCTAGCTTCCCAAAAGCAGAAATAAATAGTACCTTCACAAAGAAATCAGAGCAAAGGAATTATGATATCAAACACTAGGGTGGGAGAAGACATTGCGTACATTTATGAGAATTATACTTATCAAAGACATCTGGTTAGGCCTTTAGACTTGATACAGAATTGTTCCATTAATAACCTTAGTCTAGTAAAGGAGATAAAGCATGTTTATATAACACAGGATAAGTAGGAAGTGAATATAAAAGGAGGAGCTAACAGGTCCAAAAGAAGAGATTAACATTGGGTGGTGGCACACGCCTATAATCCCAACACCCAGGAGGCTGAGGCAGGAAGATCACAAGTTCCAGACAAGTCTGGGCTACCTAGAGAGACACTATCTCAACAAAAATAAGATATTAAACTTCCCGGAAAAGATGGCACCAAAACTGAGCTTTGAATGAGGGAAGGACAATTTGGGAATGGCAACAAATAACAGCAGAGAAACAGGATTTTCAAAGGAAAGGGGGAGCAGTGAGTCTATGAGCTTACCTGTTGGCTGATCAGGAACTTAATGGGAGCATGGTGAAAGTGAGGACTACATAAGCAGCTCTCGAAGGATCAAACCCAGATCACCAACAGGAAGTCTACCATGAAGCAAGTGCCTAATTTTTCTTTGAAGCATTCAGACATTTCTTTAGAAGAATTCTTTTTGCAGGTGTTTTCAAAAGTCTGGTCATTTCGTCAACACTAGTCACAATACTGGAGAGCATAATTCCTACACTCACATGTTTTAAAGAGTTTGGGTGACTGAGTGGATCCTACACATGAATTGTTCTCTCTCAACCTCCTTAGGAATGACTGCATGATTCGTCTTGAGATAAAAGTAGGAATGCTATTTTCACCTAATTTCTTAAAGTACTGCAGAGCTTAGAGACTATATAAACTGACTCCCTGCCCTTGCCCTTTAAAAGTGAGAAACCTAAGGGTTAAGGGGAAATAACTTGTCCTGGCTCTCATGGCTAGTTCACGGCATCTCCATTTCCAAAGCTTCCCTGACTACCTGATCATGTTGTTTTCCACTACAGCATTCTGTCTTCTTGGATTCTGACTCCGAATGACTACAGGAAAAGACCACGGGCTATTTCAGATATGATGGGAATTAAAGTTACAGAGTTGGCACAATAGCAGTTCATGTATTTATTGAACGGAACTGGAACCAGAGATGCAAGTTGTAACACCATAAAAAACAGCCCACAATTGAGCTCCCCAGTGGAACAATGAATTTCTTCTTAGGTCACTAGGCTTAACCATTAAAGAACTTCACTGTCTTCCACAGGTGCCTACTGCCTTGCTTAGTTTCTGATCTTTCAGAGACAGCCAGGTACCTGCCACTGAGGCCAGTGGGAAGCCCCTCAGACTCCTTCAGTGGGCTTTGGTGTCATTCAAAACACCAAAGGCACTGAAATTACTTTTCTGAGAAGTGGAGGGATATGGGACAATGACAATATTTTCATTTCAGTGATACTGGTCTAGTTTTTATATGGCCATTATTAAAATTGAATTACTAATCATTAACCTGATCTTTTTTCACTGAATCATTTTTCTGCATCTTTTGTAACCTTGAGGATCTTTCATTAAGACTGTACCCATTAGAGGTTTATCCATTTCCAAAGCAGGGCATTTTTGATGAGGATGATAGGACTAAGACACTTTTTAAACACAGTTCCATTGAAATAACAAAATTACTGGGCTTTTGTATTTGAATAAATATTGTAATAAATACTACCCCTTCATTCCTTCCCTGGGCCTGACTCACCCCAACTCCAACCCTAGCCCCTGTCTCAAGGACCATGGAACAGCATCACTAGTAATGGGGAAAGGTTTGCCGTTTCCCACTGTTTTTGTTTATAAGCCAAACCAATTGTGTTGGTGGGTCAGAGATGCTCCAAATCTACATTTAAAACAAAGTTCTATAACTTAAAAAAAATCTTTAAAATTTTCATTGAAACATCTGAAATATTTCTATGTATTGATTCATTTGAATAAATAAATCACTT